GCCCTCTCTGTGCAAGTATGGACCGAGTAGCATGAGATACTGCTAGGTGAAAAAGGAGCAAGGCCCACAGTGCGATGTGCGGTGTAGGCCCATCTGTGTACCCAGCAAAAGAGCAGGAATATTGTGTGTGGCAGTGGTACATTTCGAGAAGGCCATATGGGAAAGTACTCACTTTGGTCACCTCTGGGAGTGCAAACAGAGAGAACAGAAGGCTGGAGACCTGATGTTCTTTATTTGCTCCCCATCAGTATAGCATTGTTTGAGTTTGTACCCTGAGCACGTTGTGCTTGCACCAATGAAAGACTCACCTCTTTTAAAAAAAATAACAGGGAAGATGCCCCTCTTCTAGACCACCTGATTCAGGCTTTTCACTTCCCCTCATAACCCTGTTTACAGGGTAGGTGATTTTTTGCTTTATTTCTAAGGAGTCCAGCCAGGGGCCCTGTTCTCCAGTGCATCCTAAGCTCGGGCATGTGAAGTCCCAGAGGCATGCGGTCTCGGTGCCTTGGGGATGACAGATTCCAACTCTTGGGCCCCTAAATCAAAGACCCCAACATCCTGCAGTCACCTGTGGCTTTTGGTTTTCCACAGATCACAAAGGCATCAAGGAAGAGACTCACGGTGAGCCTGGCCTATTCGGAGGACCACCAGATCCGCGTGTCCCAGCAGGACTTCCGGCTGTTCCGCACCCTCTTCCTGCTCATGGTCTCCTTCTTCATCATGTGGAGCCCCATCATCATCACCATCCTCCTCATCCTGATCCAGAACTTCAAGCAGGACCTGGTCATCTGGCCGTCCCTCTTCTTCTGGGTGGTGGCCTTCACATTTGCTAACTCGGCCCTAAACCCCATCCTCTACAACATGACACTGTGTAGGAATGAGTGGAAGAAAATTTTCTGCTGCTTCTGGTTCCCAGAAAAGGGAGCCATTTTAACAGACACATCTGTCAAAAGAAATGACTTGTCAATTGTTTCCAACTAATTAGTTTTTCTTTATAGGCTGAGTTTCTCATACCTGGCGAGCTGTGGCATGCTTTTAAACAGAGTTAATTTCCAGGACCCTCCACCAGTGTACCCTGCTTTAAGAAAATGAACCTATGCAAATAAGCATCTGCAGCATCGGCAAATTAAGGGATGATCATCCAGTTTCACAATAAAAATTCCTTTATAAAAGGATTTGTTACCTGGGTGCGGTGGCTCACACCTGTAATCCCAGCACTTTGGGAAGCTGAGGCAGGTGGATCACCTGAGGTCAGGAGTTTGAGACCAACCTGACCAACATGGTGAAACCCTGTCTCTACCAAAAATACAAAAAATTAGCTGGGCGTGGTGGTGGGCATCTGTAATCCCAGCTACTTGGGAGGCTGAGGAAGGAGAATCGCTTGAACCTGGGAGGCAGGGGTTGCAGTGAGCCGAGATTGTGCCATTGCACTCCAACCAGGGCGACAAGAGTGAAACTCTGTCTAAAAAAAAAGGATTTGTTATGGGTTCCTTTTAAATGTGAACTTTTTAAGTGTGTTTGTAATATGATCGAATTTAATAAATATTTGTTTATGACTGTTCAGCAATCACATCTCCTACATATAAAGCCACACCATAGTGGTTTCTGAAGTGAGTCTTAAAACTGATTCAGGATGTAGATTTCTCCTCTGAAGGGTCACAGCCACCTTATCCCCTACCTTGGACTCGGAAGCCTTTAGGATCATTCATTAACGTCAAGAGCAATTGAAGAATTTTCAAGGGACAATTAAAGGCAACTTACTTGTTTTTCATTTATATAAAATGCCATGGACCCTTTTAAGAGAATCAGTGTCATGAAATCAGAGAGAAAGTAGAACGACTGAAATGTGTGAGAGTGAGTTCAGGAGTGGTTCACTACTGATCCATCCAGCAGAGATGCCTCTTAAGTGCCGGTGCTGGCAGACAGTATTCTTTGTGCTGGGAATACAGTGGTGAACCAGACAACCATGGGCCTCTCTCCGAGCTTACCTTCAAGTCAGGGGCAGAAAAAACTAAATAAAAGTCAATAAATTATATCTATATACAGATATATAGATGTATTTGAGATGAGAGTCTTGCTCCAATGCCCAGGCTGGAGTGCAATGGCACGATCACGACTCACTGCAGCCTCAAATGCCTTGGCTCAAGCAGTCTGCCTGCCTCAGCCTCCCGAGCAGCTGGGATTACAAGCATGAGCCGCCATGCCTGGCTACAAAGCAATACACACTATAGCATCACAGAGTGACTAAGCACCATGAAGAAAATGGGACAGGGGGCTGTGGTAGTGATGGGAATTTAGATCAAATGGAGAGGGGCCTAAGAAGACCTTTCTGAGGAGTGACATTTGGATCAAAAGGTAAGCGATAAGAAAGGGCAACCGTGTGAATCCGGGGAACAGGCTTTGCAGAAGAAGAGATGTTAGTGCAAGGAGGCTGACATGCTTGAAGTGAGGGTGGCGTTAAGACTCTTGATGGCGCCTCCTCTGCACGAGGTGCTGCCTTTAATACCCAGCTGGGGCCTGTCAGTGGAGGCCAGAAAAAGTACAGGGCTAGATCACATAGGGCCTAGGAGTTTATTTTGTGCTTCAAGCCCCTGGGAGTTTGCAACTGGAGACTGCCATGACCTAATGAGTGTGTGCCAATATTACCGTGGCTGCTGTGCAGGCAATAGACTCTGAGGAGCAGGAGTGAAATGGAGACCAGCTAGGCAGCCGCTGAAGTGAAATAAGGGAATGGAATGTTGGAGGCGAGGCATCAGGGAGGCACTGTGAGAAATGACTTGTAAATATGCTTTGGGAAGGTAAAACAAAGATGATTTATTGATGGAAAGGATGGAATTGATAGAATGTGAGGGAAAGAAAGGGTTCAAGGGTAATATCCTGATAGTTTAGGCTGCCATTGGTTGGATGGTGAAGCAGGCAACAAAAATGGGGGAGCCTGGGAACAGATCAGGGGTGGGGAAGCCAAGAGTTTCATGTGGAGCTTATAAGTTTGAAATCCCAGTGAGCTGTCCAAATTGAATAGGCAGTTGGATGCAGAGAGATGTGGAGCTTAGGCCTGGAGACACACATTATTTGGAGATATAAATGGTGTTTTTAGGCCTATGGTTTTATAAAACACCCCTTGGAGAGATAGAGAGGAACCAGAGCCAAAGATTGAACCCAGGGACACTCCACCACCAACGGCTGGAATGCACAGCAGCACAGGGCCTGTGTATGGCAGGTGTTCAACCCATCTTTGTTGCTGAGGAAATCGGCACCAGCAGTTGTGACTGCTTGTGCAGTTTCTGGAGCAGCTTGCTTCTGAAGTCAGATTCATGGCAATCACAGGCCCAAGGACAAATGAACAGAGATGTTTGCTCACTTTATTTAATAGATTTGATCAATTAAACCTGCTTCTGGATGCGATGTGTGGCTGTCTTATTGACGTGGCATCGCCATCTAGGATGAATACCCGGGGTTTGTCATCTTGCGCCAAAAGGATTAAGGACATGGACATAGGTGGGTGCGTTAAGGAGCAGAAAATTTAATAGGCATTAGAAAGGAGAGAGGAGAGCAGCTCTTCCTCGTGAAACAGAGGCATATGAAAAGGGAAAAGCAGCAGACCACAGCACATTTTATAGGCAGGCTTGAGGAGGTGGAGTCTGATTTACATAAGGCTCACAGATTGGTTTGACCATGTGTGACGTTTACATAGGGCGCTGGGAAGGCTGGTCGCCCCACCCAAATCTTATTATGCAAATGGAATTTCCAGGCCATTTTGAACATGCCCAGTCCCAGGTAGTACATTCCTATGGGTAAAACTTCCAGCCTTCACCCTTGCAAGCTTCCAACTTCCTTGTCCATGTCTGCAGCTCGATTTTACAGGCTGCTCTTTGTTAGAAAAGAAAATGATTTACAGCTGCTTTTCATTAAAAGGAAAACCTTACCAAGGACTTCTGTACTCTCACTATCTGCCTAATAAGTATTTTCTTTTTGACTCCTACATCATTATGGTTCTCTGAGGCTGTCAAACTGAAGCTGTGGAGCAAGGCTCTGACAGCCTGTGGTTCCGTGAGAGTAGAAGGCCAAGCTCTCCCATGCGCATCACCTGTCTCCTCTATCTGTGGTGGAGAACCCCAGCACAGGGCACCCAGGAGCCTTCCATGGTCTCTGGATATCCCAACACCCAGGCGGAGATCTGTGACCCTTTCCTCACTCCCGGTGCATTTCATAGACATCAGCCTGGCATCACCAGCTTCAGGGCTCCCCAGAGAGCTAACAGACATTGCCTAATTGAATCCTCACTGCAGCCCATCAGGCAAGGACTATTTTCTCATAACTCCCAAGAAAAGAGGGCGGCTCAGAGAAGACTTGTAACCAGCCCCAAAGCCACAGCTAATATGTATATATTTGAACCAGATTTGTGCACCAAGACCCCCTGGTACCAAAGCCTTGCTGCTTTTTTCAAGGTGAAAAATGGAGGCCCCTGGGAACCCCTGGAAAACTGAGGAAAGTGGTCTTGCATGCAGTCATACACTAGGGTTCCCACATGCTGCTAGTCATGCAGGACACTGGTGAGCTGTCCCAGGCCCTCTACTTAACCCCCACCAAGACCCTCCCTGCACCCCAGGTAGGGGGTGTTCTGATCTTTCTACAGAATGGGATTTTCCCAGAGCTCACCTTGTCCCCTGCGGGTCAGCCTCTGAAATCCAGCATGGGTGAGCTGCCAGCCTGCCCACCTCATAGGCCCAGGGCTGACTGAGGCCTTGGTTTCGCTGGCCTGGCCTCTCTACTCACTTCCACTTTTGGCACCAGTGCTTTGGCCGGGCTGGTAGGTAAGGCTTTCCTGGGTGAAAGAGGGAACCCCCTTTTCAGGAAGTTGGGAGAAGCTGGTATTTAATAATGGAGATTATGCACTAGAAGAGGCCAAAGGTCAGAAAGAGCGTGTGCTCCTGGTGTAAAGAAACGCACCCCACCCATCCACCTGCAGCAGAAACATAAACACAAATGAAAACTCAAACCATAGGACACAGGTAACTTTATTTTAATGAATCAGAGTCTGGAATCAGCCTCAGAAACTTTCAGGAAAGATAGACATTTGCCTGCAAGTAGATTCACTGACCCCCACAAGTATCTTTATGTGTCATGAAGGTTTTATGGGAACTGAAGGGAAAGGGAGAGAAGGGCAAATTACACTCCTAAGATAAATAGAGCTGAAGATTGAGAGCTAATCAGAAGTTCCGACGAAATTAGATTCTTGAAGGTGCTACAAAAGGTTTCTTTCTGATTTGCCATCACAGTAACCTGGAATATACAAACAAAGCCATTAACGACAGAACGTTTTGATGTAGACAATGAACATCAGGATGGCCTTGGAGCTGGCTTCATTCAAATGCTTTTTTTTTTTTTTTTTTTTTTTTTTGAGATGGAGACTTACTCTGTTGCCTAGGCCAGAGTGCAATGGTGTGATCTCAGCTCACTGCAACCTCTGCCTCCTGGGTTCAAGTGATTCTACTGCTTCAGCCTCCCGAGGAGCTGGGATTACAGGCGCCCACCACCACACTCAGCACATTTTTGTATTTTTAGTAGAGATGGGTTTCACCATGTTGGCCAGTCAGTCTTAGCGCATTTCAAAGTGTTGGGGGCCCATCCTCTGACCTCAGGAAGTGGGGTCCAAGGCAGCCTGACCTGGGACACACTGATGACGGGTTTATAAAGTGTTTCCATGTCTTATGTCATGTGTCACCAGATGGTGTGGCACAGGGACTTCAGTCACAGAACTCCAGGTTTACATCCAACTCAGCCACGTATGAAAGATTTAGGGCGACTTTCTTCATCGCTGTCAGCCTGTTTTCTCATCTGTACAATGCACGTAATCTACTTCCTAAGGTACCCGGCTGTGGTGGAATCCTTGCCAGACCTACGTTTAACCCACCCCCAGGGGGAAGCTTCAAAGTCAATTTGATTTTGGTCTGAGTTCTCTCATCCGTTTGGTGTAGTGGGTCAGTTCGTGACCAACAGAAATGCTCCATTTTGTTTAATTTTTTTTAGGCGGAATCTTGCTTTGTCGCCCAGGCTGGAATGCAGTGGCACAATCTCAACTCACTGCAGCCTCCGCCTCCTGGGTTCAAGTCATTCTCCTGCCTCAGCCTCCTGAGTAGTTGGGATTATAGGTGCCTGCCACCATGCCCAGTTAAGTTTTGTATTTTTAGTAGAGATGGGGTTTTGCCATGTTGGCCAGGCTGGTCTCAAACTCCTGACCTCAAGTGATCTGCCTGCCTTGGCCTCCCAAAGTGCTGGGATTACAGGTGTGAGCCATTTTGTTAATTTTTTTCTACATTTTACCATTACTCTATTTGGATTTTGAACCCCAGTATCCCATAGAAGTGAGTGAGTGTCCATTCAAACAAAATGGGGCTCTTCCTCCACAATGTTTCTGGTTTTTAAATCAAGATCAGACAAGGGTAATATCTCCTAAAAGATCCTGTGGTTGTTCCAGAGAATCTCGGAAAACCCAAGCAAGAAAATCCAGCTAGTCAATGCCATGGATATTTGGTTTCATACAGAAAAGAGACTGTGTCTTGAAATCATTCTTTTTGGAGCTTACTACATTGATGCCGTGGAGTTTTTACATCCATGGCCACACGAGCTGCCCACTTCTTTACTGGACAACTCAATCCCAAACAATCTTAATTCAGTCAAAATGTTTTTGGGGGGCAGCATTGCCAGGGGTGATCACAGAAATGACCCGAGGAAGCAGAAGAAAAGGAAAAGAGTGCCCACTGCAGTGTTAGTGCTGGGGAACTGGACAAAGGCCTTGCCCATGCCTGCACGAGCCCTGTGAGGAAGCCAGTGAAAAATCTGGCCAAGAAGGATCAGGACTTAGCCTCAGAAAGGGGCTCCCAAGACCCCTTGTTTTCTCCGGGATACGGATGAAATGAATTTCACTAGCACATGGGCCGAAACTCCAAACTGACTACCCTGCAGGGAGAGCCAGGAGGCACCCTGCTCCCCACTCACCGTTGTGGACGATCAGCCTGTACTGCCTGGCCAGGCACAGCTCCTCCTGCCGCTGCCTTATGATCCTCTGTGCCTCTGGGGGCAGGCCGTTGGGGTCACGGGAAAACACGAAGGAGTAGCTGTCAGCACACGTGCCGTCGAGGTTCAGGAGGCGGCACGAGTACTGCACGGCGAACGTGTCGTAGTCCGTGTCGATGATCCAGTGGTCATCATCTGCAAGCCAGAAAGCCACCGTGCCCATCAATGCCTCTCCCTCAGGGGCTCAGATGTCAGAGAAACTCATGACAAGCCTGAGAACACAGTGACTTCCAGAAGCTGGTTTTATTTCCTTGGGAAGCAGGACACTTCAGAGAATTGTGACAGCTTTCACACAATTTGGCAAAACGGAAAGGACCTTGTTCTCCTTTATTGAAGAAAATCTGGGAGTCAGGAAAGCCTCATTCACTTCAACATCGCTCCCTGTGACTATGTCGCTGTAAATGTGACAGCATTTTTCCAAAGAACCACCAAGAAAGCAGGCTCATCAAAACCACAGAATAAACCTTTTTATTGTTGCTTCGCCATCTACTCTCCAATAATACCTGTGTCTTTCATGGCTCCGGTTTGATGGCCAACCAACTTACGTGACTCCCAATATTGGCTTACATCTGTCTCGATCTCTATCAGCTGGCTCCTAATCAACCCACTAACCATGCTGCCCCTACCCTCTCAGTCCGCTGGAGGATGCCACTCCCATGTCATGGCTTCTCTGGCTCCATCCTAATTCTGCTTACTAATGCTACTCGCTTCTTTGTGCTGTCAAAGAGTGGGTTTTGCCTTGAGGACTCCAGATGCTCACCACATGGCATCAGCCATTTCTTCTTAGACCTTGTCCTCTTTACAACTCACAGAGGCAGAGCCGAGCCTCTGAATTTAGAATACATGCATTCCTCAAGGCTGAAATGTAAGCCATGAAGAGCAAGAGTAAATGAAGGAAATAAAAATATCAATAGGCCGGGCGCGGTGGCTCAAGCCTGTAATCCCAGCACTTTGGGAGGCCGAGGCGGGTGGATCACGAGGTCGTGAGATTGAGACCAACCATGGTCAACATGGTGAAACCCCGTCTCTACTAAAAATACAAAAAAAATTAGCTGGGCATGGTGGTGCGTGCCTATAATCCCAGCTACTCAGGAGGCTGAGACAGGAGAATTGCCTGAGCCCAGGAGGCGGAGGTTGCGGTGAGCCGAGATCGCGCCATTGCACTCCAGCCTGGGTAACAAGAGCGAAACTCTGTCTCAAAAAAAAAAAAAAAAAAAAAAATCAATAAAGGTAGGAGAGGAAAGAACGTTAATTAGAGCCTATGTGTGGCCGGATGCTGTGGTTCACGCTTGTAATCCCAGCACTTTGGGAGGCTGAGGCGGGAGGGTAACTTGAGGCCAAGAGTTTGAGACCAGCCTGGGCAACATAGTGAGACCTGGTCTCTATAAAAAATGAAAAAAAAAAAAAAATAGCCAGGTGGGGTGGTGTGCATCTGTGGTCCCTGCTACTTGGGGGGTTGAGGTGGGAGGACTGCTTTGAGTCCAGGAGGTCAAGGCTATAGAGAGCTAGGTTTGCCCCACTGCACTCCAGCCTGAGTGAGAGTGAGACTCTGTCTTAAAAAAGAAAGAAAGAAAAAAAGAATGTGAGTGACTTGCCACAGCAAAAGAACAGTGTTACCCTATATTCAGATGAAAGTGCCACATCTCTACTTAATTTCACCTTCATGTTGACATAACACCATGACTGGGACTTTCTGAGCACTTAATTACATGCCAGTCACCATATGGACACTTCTTATTTGTCTTCTCAGTTACCTCTCACATTAACCCAGAAGTGTACACTATCATCCCCTACTTTACAGGTGAGGAAACTGAGGCACAGAGAGACTTAATAATTCACCTAGGGTCACAAAGAGCAGGGCAGAACTGGGATTCAGGCAAGGGAGTGTGATTCCAGAACCCACATGCTTCACCTCGACACCACGCTGCCTCCAGACGATAAGTAAACCGGCGGGAAAGGGGCAAGAAACAAAAGGCTTTGTGTCTCCATCTCATGCTCGGGGTTGTGGCAAGGGGTGATGATCCCTCTGTAGCGTTCTGGTTGGAGGAGCCCAGAGGGAGCCGGAGCCCCCAGCGTTAGAGGGTGTAGGGCCATATGGAATGCTCGCCCTAGGTCGCCTCTGGGTGTACCTGAGAACCCCTGGAGTGCCAGCGATAGGATGGGGTTCAGCCCAAACCCAGGCTCTGCAGGGGGGCTGTCCCAGGAGTGGGTATGGAGCCCCTCTCTTCAACTCAGCCTAGGCCTGCCAGGAGGAGAATGAGCCAGTCCTGTGCCTTGAGGCTGTTCCAGGGTGACAGTGTCAGAGACGGGGCTGAGGAGATGTCCCAGAACCATGACTGCTCAGCAGGGACCACACAGTTAGTTATTCAACAGAAAGACCAGGAACAGAAGCCATGGGGCTGCCTGCTGGGCCTCACCCTAACCACTGACTCTCCTGACAGGCTCCAAAGTCTCTGGGTGGTCTTCCTCATCCCTGGACGAAGTCATTCCTTCCCTGGTTATGAGGATCACTGTGTCTGTCACAGGCACCCTCAGACACAAAAACACTTGCCTTTGAAATGTGACCTCGATTCATCATCCAGGCAGCTATTAGCTTGGCAGGTCTGCAGCTTGACTTTTTTTTTTTTTTTTTTTTTTCCAGAATGGTCGCCAGCATGTAAATTTTGACAGAGGAATTAAGTAACTTTCAGTGCTTGGGTTTAGTAAAATTGGTGACTGCTCTTGACTTTAAAAGAAGGCCTAAGTTGGTTTGGTTAATCTCCAGCCTCTTTTGGCTGAATAATTCAAAGATGAAGAATTTAAACCAGAGCAACTTTGACCAGGGTCTCCCTTTAAGAGTATTTGCAAGAGGTGAACTGCCAGAGCACTGCGAGAATAAGGCTGGTTCTCCAGCCTCCTCACACCCGGCAGCTGGGCAGGTTTCCTCTGGAGAACCAGACACCACAGCCGTTTCCAGACTGCAGCTAACCGCATGCAGTGGAGCTAGGGACAGGGAGCACTGGAAGCAGTGGTTGTGTAGCTGGGAGCCTCTGCCAACCCTCTACCATCCTAGGAAGCAGGGTCACGCTGTAGCTGCATCTGCACTCTACCTACAGAGACTGTTTGGAAGGCCAGTGCAAAACCAAAGAAAATGCTTGGTAGAGGGTGCTGTCTCGGGTAACCTGGTTCCATTGGTCTGTTGCTCACTGCCGTGTGCCTGGAACGGGTCTTTTCAGCTTGCTAGACCTATATGCTCCAATCATCTAAAGCAGCAAGACCAGGTAAGAAGCTCCCTGTGGTACTCAGGCCTCATGGTCCAGCAGAGCCAGCCAGGAAACAGATTTAATGCTACTTCTGATGAATCGTCAAAATACCCCAACAGGCCCCAGCAAAGTGAGTGAAGTCTGAGGCCCTGATACCCAAGTAAGCCAAGATAACTCTTCGGATTGAATCATCTAGACTAGTGGTTCTCAAACTTCATTGTGCAGAAAGAGCATACCCAAAGAGCATACTTAAAATGCAGACTCCAGGGCCCTGCCCTTAGAGTGTCTGACTCAATAATTCTGGGTTTGAGTCCAGAAATGTGCATTTTTAAACAAGCATACTACTTTATTTAGATATAGATGGTACAGGAAGCCTGACTTTGAGAAACACTAATGTAAACCTTCAGGCCTGCATTGTTATTCAGCCTGACAAAAGCCCCTTTGCCAGCAGAGTGACAGGCTTTATCTGACAGGACAAAAGGAGAGTCTTTGTCCATGTCTTTCTGTGAGAGCACAAAACAATGAATGATCATCGCTAATATTTAATGAGCACTTACTATGCACCAGGCTAAGCATTTTCACAAAGTACCTTAATTAGTCCTTCCAATGATTCTATGAAATAGGAACTATTCCTTCTCTCCATTTCATAGCGAAGGAAGTCAGATCTCAGGAAGGCTAGCCTGTATTCAATCAAGACCTGCTGATGGTAGTATCCTCACCCCCTGAGACCCTGAGATATCCTGTTTGCTGCTGGTGGAGCCAGAAGGGAAGACCAGTACTAAGCATGCCCAAGGCTGGAGCAGCAGGTCACATCAGTTTGCTAACACTGGCATTTCATGTTCAACTCGAAAGATTGAGCACATTTAATTTTAAAATAATTTGACAACAAATTTCATGATCATTTGGCCCTGAGTTATTTTCTCTTCATAAGGGCACCTCATCTTTTTTTTTTTTTTTTTGAGACAGAGTTTCGCTCTTGTTACCCAGGTTGGAGTGCAATGGCACAATCTCGGCTCACTGCAACCTCTGCCTCCTGGGTTCAGGCAATTCTCCTGCCTCAGCCTCCCGAGTAGCTGGGATTACAGTCACGCACCACCATGTCAAGCCAATTTTTTGTATTTTTAGTAGAGACGGGGTTTCACCATGTTGACCAGGATGGTCTCGATCTCTCGACCTCATGATCCACCCGCCTCGGCCTCCCAAAGTGCTGGGATTACAGGCTTGAGCCACCGCGCCCGGCCAGGGCACCTCATCTTAAACACATCCATTGGGTGCGATTCAGTGTGGGGAGCAGGGAAGAGACTGAGGATGCGGGCCACTCTCCAAGTGACCTTCGCATCCTTCTGTCCAAGTCAGTGTTTAAACAAGAGCAAGGTCAGCTTTGCCAGAAGAAACTGGCATGCAGAGTTTGTAAAGAGGACCCCAAAACAAGTATGTTAAACAGAGCAAGGAAGATGCATCAAGCCATGCAGTTTGCAAGATAGACAGAAAACAAGGGATCCTTTGTGCCTTTTTGCAAGCCCTGGGTTAAGAGATGTCACTAAGTGCCAAAAATTCGCCGTGTGCCCCTAGGCCTCTCACTTCTCTATGGGCCCCATTTTCTTCACTTCTAAAACAAGAGACTTGAACCCAGTGGTCTCCGTGGGTCCTCCCATTCTAGACCCAGAATCTAGCACCATGATTTCACGACCAGGGAGGTAACTAAGCAGCCATCATATCAAACACTTACAAAGAACTCATGTCTGAGTGCTTTCTGCCTGTTAACTCATTGCATCTTGTAACACAACTCCATGAGGTAGGTTCTAGGATCATTTCACTTTGCAGATGAGGAAATAGGCACAGAAAAGTTAGGAAAGATATCCAAGTTTCCACATGTAGTGGCGGAGTTGGGATGTGAACTCAGGAGGTCTAGTTTTAATCAGGCAGGCTTAACTACTACACTGCACAGCTTCTTTTTTGAAATGTAACCTAAGAAGGAATTTATCCTTAAGCCTTCCATATTCTAGTCATCTCACTTAATACCTGTCGCAAGCACTTTCAGGAGTACAATACTTTTTCCCCCTCCCAATGAAATCCTAGATAAAATATCAACATACAAGAGGCAAAAGCAAACGAATCTGGTTTGACAGGGGGAGGAGGCAAGAAACAAAATGCCCCCTTCTCATTGGGTCCTCTCTGACCTATCTCTAAAGGCACTGCCAACAGCATCCCAGTCCAGTAAGGAGCACATCTCAAAATGCTGTAGAGCATATGTCTTTTTTCTTTCTAAAAATTAGTAATCTTGTACCTCGTATCGATTTTTGTAATCCATTAACAGAAAAGTATATTTTACTCTAAGTAACTCACTTTGGGAAGTTTTGCTACACTATTTGAAATAACTTTATTAATTCCAAGGATAATAAAATGAAGATAAAGCTTCTAAGGTTTTTCTCTACCAGGTATGGTGGCTCACACTTGTAATCCCGGCAATTTGGAAGGCTGAGATGGGAGGTTGGCTTGGACCCAGGAGATCAAGACCAACTTGGGCAACCTGGGAGACCTTGCCTCTACAAAAAATACAAAAATTAGCCGAGCATGGTAGCCCACGCTTGTAGTTCCAACTGAGGTGGGAGGATTGCTTGAGCCAAGGAGGTTGAGACTGCAGTGAGCCATGATGGCACCACTTCACTCTAGCCTGGTGAAAGAGCAAGACTCCGTCTCAAAAAAAAAAAAAAAAAAAAAAAAAAAAAAAAAAATTAAAAATTAAATTTCATCCAACACACAACTTTAGAGGAAGTCCAAGAGTAGTGTGTGCCATGGTTGGAGAGCAATGGGTTACAATAAAGGACACTTCTGCCCTGGATCACTGAGCAAAGAGAGTCTCCTTCAACAACCCTTGGTCCTATCTCACAGAAGATCTCAAACAATACTTCGCAAAGCTGGTCTGATTAGCCCTTGTAGTTCAGGGCCACCCAATCCTGGCCTGAGATTTGGAAGCCTGGCTTCTGACAAGACATTGACTCTAACAAACTCCTTGCATGTCCTTGGGCAGTTCTCTTGGCCTCAGTTTATTCATCTGTATATTGAACCCCCTCCAAAAGGTTAAGTCTCCCTCTCTAAGATTCCATGATCTATCTCCCCTGGCCTGCATTATTCTCTAGCTACTAAGTAGATTCCAGATCTGAAACTTAGGATAAATGAGGGAAAAAATGGTCAAAAGAGCATGTAGAAACTGTTTTCTCACAATTAGGCCAAATGTAGGATCTTCTTCTACAAGCCCTCAACATCGCCCCCCTCCACATCTGAATGTCACAGCTTAGGGGAAAGGGAGGAGGCCACTGCCACAGAACACTGTGCCTGGCTCAGAATCTCAGCATCAGCAGGACGGGCACCTGGGAGGCATCCATCCCTCTATGCACCTCAGGCGGTGCTGCGGGTTCCTGCCACTTCCAGACCTTTCCACAGGCCATTCTTCCTAAGTGTAGGTACCACTGGAGAAGAAGCCAAGCGATTTGGCTCTGTAGGGCCCCCATTCTCAAGACAGTCCCACAGAGCTGACTACTCACTTCCTTTCTGGAGAAAGGAGGCTACGCCCCAGTACTTCATCTTGAACTTGGCAGGGTCCTCGGTGTCTGTGAAGGTGCCCACCATGTCTGCGCACACGTCCCAGTTACTGCAAAAGCCAAGGGGACCCTCAGCCAAGCTGGGCAGAGGGCTTCCTCCCTCCCTTCACCCAGCCGGTGTTCCCGTCCCTTCACAGTCCCCACGTGGCGATCAGCAAGCAGGGCCCTCGGGAGACCCTGGAGCGCAAAGAGCGCAGCTACCCCGGCGGCCACTGACTTCAAAAGACGGACTCGGCCCTTGGCCGTGGCGCTCATCTGGCCGGTCTCGTCCACGGAGAACTCGGCGACGATGTTGTCCTGCAGAAAGAGGCCCTCGGGGTCCTTCTTGGCCATGGCGTACCAAGTCCCGGAGAACTGCGAGAAAGATGAGAGCAAGGGTTTAGTGTCTGGAGGCTCATGGCGGGCCGCCGGGAAGGCGGGAATGGGGGTGGGGACCCGGGCCGTCCGAGGCCGATCCGGGCTGATACCTACGCGAGCCTTGTCGAAGTTCTCCTTGACTCGGAAGCTGCTCACCCGGCAGTCGTGCTCCGCCCGGCTGCTGCCCAGCACCGCCAGCAGCAAGAGCGCCCACACCCACTTCATCTTGCCCAGGAGTCCGCCCTGCGGGAGACGCGCCTGCGTCAGCGTCCAGCTGCCGACCCCCGCGCAGTGCATCCCACCCCACCCCGCCCCGCCCGACCCATCCCGCCGCCACCCGGGAGGGCCCGGCCGCCGCTCACCACTAGGAGGAGAGCAGCGTGCAAGCCTGGCCGCCGCGTCCGGGCGCGCGTGGAGCTAGGGAGGCGAGCGCGCTGCGACCGCCCAGCTGCTTTATAGCGCCGGGGGGAGGGGGTCGCGCTTTCGTAACCACGCGGGGTGAAAGACCGAGGGGGAGGCGCCGGGGACACTTGCATAACGCGCCCTGACTCACCGGCGCCCGGGAGTGGGCAGGGTCCCCGTGGGCCGGCCTCATCTCCGGGGCAGCCCCGGGCGCGGTGGAGTGGCCGCGCGGGGTGGCCTCGGCCTGGCCGAAAGCGCCAGCGGCTCTGGCTCAGTTACCCTGCACTCCGGCCAGCGGCCGCCAGCTGCGGTCTGGGGTGGCCTCCGGGGCCAGTGGCTCTGGCAGCAGGCTCACGTCAACCTGGCGGGAAGACTGTGGCCTCACAGGGCGAGAGGGGACCCGCGAGGCTGCCTGGTGCGTGAGTGCCCAGGCCCTGGCCGTGCCAAATTGGCCTCTCCGTCTGCCCTCTGAGGTCCACTTGTGCAGGAATTTTGGAATAATTCCTCCAAGTAGTTTTTCATTTTATAAAGGATGCATTTTACTCCCTTTCAGGAGAGTTGTGGTGCCCTCTGGTCAATATTTGTTCTTTAGTTTCAACATCTTTAGAAGCATTAAAACCCTCGCTGTTAAATACTCTCCAGAAATGCAAACCTGGTCAGAACAGGAAATATTTTAGCAGCCTCGGTGGTCGCCCACCTTACTCTGTGGTACTTCCCTGAAACCACTTTGAAAAACACCTACCGATTGTTTATGATGCAAATTGATTTCAAAGCCATATTGGAATTTTCGTTTTTTTTCAGAACAGCTAAAGTTGGCTGTTTTGTTGGCTAGGAGTGGACAAAGGAGAGGAGAGCAGACAAAGGAGAGAAGAGTAAGCAGCAATCTATACAATGTCAATGGCCAACTGAATCTAAACAGTGCGACCAGTTTAGGTATTTTGCCTGTGTGATGGCACAATTTACTGACCCTGTTTTTCTCTTTCTGTTCAAAGTTAAGCGTTCCACTCATTTGATCAAAGCAATCAGTCAAAGGATGAGAATGACCGAATGAGAATTCATGATGTGGCAAAGAAGTAGCTCTTCTTAAGAGTCCTTCCATACAATATCAGTTGTGTTTCCATGGCCTAAATTGGAAAGATTCGAGATCAATTTGGCCATTTTGCTGCAGCCAGACCTGAAAAAGGAGGAGATCGGGGAAGAAGAAAGGTGGCAGCCAAACGGAAATAAGGATAGAGCATTGGGGCTACTTCTGAGCATCCTGAGAAGACATCAGTGGCTTCCTTCCCACGTCGTTCTCCATCTACTTCCCATCTTCCCCTTTACTCCTGCACCCATTTGGGTCCCAGCAGTGTCTGAGTGCCAACAATGATGCACTGAACTCCTAACCACCCCAGAGCTAGGAAAGCCTGTTTCTGGACAACAAGCTAACTAGGCTGTCTTCTGATGGGGCCAGTTTTATGGAAGGCTGTGTAATCCCAAACAGGCAAATAAGGTCTGCTTCAGACCCACTCCTGCAGGACAGTATGGGACATGGATCTATGCACCTGCTTGGGAAAGGATGTTAGGGCCCCTCTCTGTCTCCTACCCAATGCTTAAATCCCCTCTTCAGCATTCCAGAGGAGAGGTCTTCCAGTTTTTGCTCCAAGTCCTTTAGTGATGGAGAGCTCCTAGCCTAACCTAATTGCCTTTGGACAGTTATCCCTGCCAAAAACGTTCTCCTAATACCCCCTGGCCTTGCAGTCACTTCTCCTAGAACACATTCTTGTGCACACTGTATGTTGATTACACGTAGGGGAGTTCAGTGCATTTTCATGATGGTTTTGATGCAACAACGTGTTTTTATTTATTTGTTGGGTAAGTTTAAAGGTTGTTTCAGAGAAAAAATTTGAGGTGAAAAAAGAAAAAAAAAAGTTGATGTAATCATTCCTCTGCCCCTCCTCTTTTAATGATAAATCCTGGACCTTAGTGTTCCAGATACCAGCAGAGAAAAACAGTTTATTTTGGCGTTCTTTCTAGGATTTCTTCATGATTACAAATAAGCAAATTCAGGTCAACTGATGTTCTTAACGTCAGTACTTTGAAAAAGATCCTCATACATTAACTTTTCAAATATGTGTATGTGTAATGTCAAAAAGAAAAATGTTCACAGTGAAAACCTCTGTGTCATAGGATTAGGGATATTGAAAGTTTTTTCTTTGTGTCTTTCTGTATTTTTAGAGTTTTCTACTGTGAAAATGTTTAATCAGAAAATAAGACAAGTATTTCCTTTACAAATATTTTTCTTGCTCCTTTTTCTATAGGTAAAATTATGTTTTAAATTACATCTTATAGATTGTGTATAATGTACACAAAATTTCATTCATTTCCTTGCCATGCTTCATGGAGAGACAGACCATGTTTCTTCATATTTGTATCTGTCTCCCCCTCCCCACTTTTCCATGGGGTATATCAAGAAGACTTGTTCGTAGGTGTTTAATCAATAGATATAATTTATTTTACTGAACTTAGTCACTCTATACAAGCTCCATAAAACATTATTTATTTATTTATTTATTTATTTATTTATTTGAGACAGAGTCTTGCTCTGTCGCCTAGGCTGGAGGGCAGTGGTGCGATCTCAGCTCACTGCAACCTACGCCTCCCGGGTTGAAGTGATTCTCCTGCCTCAACCTCCTGAGTAGCTGGGATTACAGGCGCACTTTGGGAGGCTGAGATAATGGATCATGAGGTCAGGAATTCAAGACCAGCCTGGCCAAGATGCTGAAAACATTTATTTTTAAAGATCTGGTCAGAGTTCATGCTTCCTACCATATACGTTCACAGGATTTAGTACTTGTAGCAAAGGTGGCTACTTGGCCTTTCACCGAAAGATTTGCAGTCCCCTTCTATGCTGTAAAGCTGGGGACTACATCTGCCAATCACTGCCATCCCTGTCCCCACTTCCTGAAGCCCTATAAGTCCACGAGTCTTCTGGCCAGTGGAAGAGGCTATGTCATTCCCAGGTAGGGATCAGAAAAGCTGCCTGTTCAATTGTTCATATCCTCTCCTTTCTTCCGTTATCTGCCAGGGTTCCCACTGGTGACTGATTTGATGTGAACGAGAGATGAACTTCCACTGGATGAAGCTACTGAGATTTGAGGGATTACCTGTAACAGAAGTTGATGTTACCTTAACCTTAACAGCAGCAAACAAGTCCCTAACACCTAAAAAAGATAGAAAAAGATTTTATCTTAACTGACTGAAGAACTAATGCAAGACACTTATGTCTCTAACCAGTGAAAATTAAGCACTTCCAACCAGCTCCGTTTTACACAAAGTAACATTTATACCCACACCCCGACATAGGCCAAGAAAAATGAAAAACAAGGAAATGGAGAACATTTATCTTCTGACTGCATTTAAAAGATGTCAAAATAATTGGTTGAAAAATGAAAAGGTTAGTCAGTCCATGTTTTCAGGTACAAAGAGATAAATTAATTTTTTAGCACCATATTGAGTGTTCTCAGTGGTTACAAAGTCATCAGTCCATCTCATCAATTTAGATAAAAACAATTCGGGTTTCACCAACCGAATTGTCTCTGAGACACCTGGTTATACCCATCAATTAAGTGCAGGCACAAGGCTCTCATGAGAGCAAATGTGCAGATCAAGTGTCCTGTGCAGTTGGCTGCCAGATGTGCCTGAATGGCTTTCCATGATGGGTAATTATAGGAACAGAGAATCTGGCTAAGGCGGAACTAAAGAGTGGGTTCAGTATAATGATGTGAAACACACTGAATTAACCCAGGATATTGTTGATTTTTGTGTTGGTGCTTCTACCACATAGGTATATGTTTTGGCTGCTGTATAAGCGTAACTTCCTGTAGAAATCATTAACTGCAGTGGAAAATTTTAACAATGATGGAATTTAAAGTTACATGTGCTCATTTATAGAGAGTACTGCTGAAAACTTGTTTGGACAGAAAGTTTAAGGAAGTTAAATCATTCTTTGGTAGATTTTTAAACAGATTGTCTGGGATTTTTATTTCACTCTTGTATTAGTATTTAACATTTTATGATATTTGTCTAGATTTTGAAATCTTCAAAGAGTCTTTGTATATTTCCTTGCAGCATTGAGTACGATGTCTAGTTCACCTCATAGGCACACTTTTTAATTTAGCCATATTTAAACTGGTAGTTTTAGAGTAGATTACTATCACTTGCTGGCTGTGATCTTGGGCAAGTTAACTTAATTTCTCAGTGCTTCAATTTCTCACCTGCAAAATAATAATAGTGCCTACCTCATAAAAGTATTAAAAAAATTAAATGAGATAATATATGTAAGGATCTTAGGAGGTTACCTGTCACAGAGTATGTTTTTTGTATGTCATCTATTCTTATTATCCTTTTATTATTACCAAGTGATTTATGTTTCTGAAAAAATTCTCTGTAAATGGAATGGAGTTTTCACATTGACTTAGTTATCATTTCAGAGTTTATCTAAATAAATTTATTGTCATTAAAAAATCTTAGTATCTAAGATCTTGACTTTTCCCCTCATTTTCTCCATCAGTTAATATTCTATCTAAAAAACTCAACAAGAAATCTATGCTTCGAATGAACCAAAAGTGCTGATATAAAAATTAAACAGTGAAGTCAAGAACTATTTTGTCATGTTAAAATTTTATTTCTAAGTGATCTGTTTGGTAATTTTAAATTTTAAGATATGTCATTTTCCATCCTATTTGACAAACCGTGCTGGGGAAATTGGCTAACTCTGTGCAGAAGAATGAAAATTGACCCCTACCTCTCACCATCTACAAACACTGATTTGAGATGGATTAAAGACTTGAATGTAAGACATCAAACTATAAAAATCCTAGAAGAAAGCCTAGGAAATACTCTTCTGAACATCAGCCTAGGCAAAGAATTTATGAGTAAGTCCTCAAAAGAAAACACAACAAAAACAAAAATCGACAAGTGGGACCTAATTAAACCAAAGAGTTACTGCCCAGCAAAAGACACTACCAACAGAGTAAACAGACACTCTACAAAATGGGAGAAAATATTA